ACCCCCCCGGGCCCAGTGCAGCAGCGCCGCCCGGCCCCACAGAGCCCGGGACAGTCCACCCAACCCCACCACAGAGAAAACTGACACCCACCCCACCATCCACTCATCTTCCAGACTACATAAGACAATAAACACCCAGGCTGAGATCTTCCTCCACCTCTCCTGTATCTCCCCCTCCTGCAGAGGGAGCTCCTGGATGTACTCCAGTTCTTAAAATTTTGTTTTTCAGTATTTCCCAGTAGTGACTCCAGTTTCCATTACTGTCAGCTCCATAACCAAACACATCAACCTAGCGAAACAAAAAAGGTGAAAAAAGATATGAGAAAGAGGTGATGAATGATGAATGGAAAAAATGCATTTCAGAAATATTCAAAACGTCACTTTTAAAATCAAACTCAAAACCAAAGGTGGCAACTTCAACATGAAATGAACTGTTAAGCTGCTTAGGAAAGCAAATTGTCCCTAGGTTATCTGGATACAGTTTACCTTTCTTCCTTTCTGCCTCTCTCCTCTACCAGTGTGAGTGTGTGTTTGTGTGTGTTGTACTGCCTGAGGACAGTAACCTTTGTGTTAGTAACCTGCAGGTTGTAAGCCAAGGGTTAGAATTGAGGCTTAACTGTAACCATATTAATACACATACTATATGTGTTATTTTGTCCTCTCCCAATGAGATCTGTCATATACCCATCTATTCAATTCAATTCAATTCAATTTTATTTATATAGCGCCAAATCACAACAACAGTCGTCTCAAGGAGCTTTATGTTGTACAGTAGAACGTAAGTAGTAATATACCTGCACTTTTTTCTACCCCCAGGTGAAAAATATGTGAAGGAAAATTGGCCTAATACAATATTATCTATAAATATACCTGTCCAGCTGTCCAGTGATTAATTGCACACATAGGCAGGACCTCACAACAGATGCATCCTCCAGAAGGTGTTGTACATTATACATGTATTTTTCATCTATTGTATTTACCAACATCAAGAAGCCGCAAGCAAAGAGCAACCACACCATGGTACATGTTTAACTAAAAAGAAGTTTATTGATCAAATGTATTTATTAAACAAATAGAAAAAAAAAATGTTCAAAGCAACACAAGGGTAGCCCAGTATCAGACAGAATTGTGTAGTCCACTCTGTAAAGTGGGCAATCATAATAATGAAGCAGTACACTTTAATTTCTACATTCAAGACGTTCTTCATATTTTTGGCCACCAGATGTCACCAGAGAGGACTAACTTGAAACGCTTCGATTAATGAACCGTTTTTTAACACAAGCTTCAATGCTTCAGAAAGCTTCGTTTGGCCATCACTAGTTCTAGTTCAAGCTATCCAAATACAATGTTCTCCTATGGCCTATTCCATTCAATTGAGAAGACTAAACATTACCATCATAATCATTTACTTATGATGCTCCTCTTTACCAGCAATAAAACACACTTCTAAGATATAGCTCTTACATTTTACAACAACACATATAACTCTCAAGCAAACAAACCCTTGACTTTATTAAATTACTTTTCTGTTATCCCTTTAGCAGTTGGTGTGGTGGTGGTTGGTTTCGCAGAGAAAAATACTGGACAGGAGTTATTTTGACATGTGTACGCAGAGCTTTTTCTGTGACTGTTTATGACTGTGTGTGTTGGTTTGTTGTGAGACGAGCTGGATGTTGTGTGTGTGTGATGTTTGTTGTGTTTGTGTGGTGTGTTGTGTTGCTCGTTCCATCTTTTTCAAATGACAACTAGTTTCTTTGAAAAAAAGTCTAGTGGAAAGGTCTAAACATTACTCTGATCTTTTTTATGCCATACCCTTATGGGATCTATTACTACTTCTAAGTTGATAAGGTGGTTATGTTTTTAATAGAAATTTATTATTATTATACATTTTAAAAACAATCACCACAAATCCTTTCAGTCTATTACTGTAAAGATTCATTCAGTGATCAATTCATTCATTAAGCGATGTAGTTGTGTAACTCTGATTATAGCACTGTTTCAGTGTGCCTGATATATCAGAAAAGGAAATCAACTTTGTGTTCTGTAGTTTCCTGTTCTCTAGATTATGACCCTTTACATAATAGGAAGGAATAGCAAACCTTTTTCTTTTTTTTTCATTTTAAAGTAAATTACAGATTCACTTTGCTACCTAGCAAACAGATTCTTCCTGTTGTCAAAATAGAATGGGGAAACTCACAATAACAACTTTAAGTACACTAAGGTTAAACCAATAATTCAGTCATTCAGAAAAATAACTCACAATTGTGTTTTTTATGTTATAGGTTTTTCTTCCCATTGTTTGCTTCTTGTTTCAATCATTTTCTGTCCTAAACTGGAAGAAAAGTACATGGTAGTTTTCAGCAAAAATATCATCACACTACCATTACCTGTTTCTGCAGGTTTTCTGCTTTAAAAAAACAGACTGACTCAACATAGACCAATGGCAAGAATTCTTAGATGGACTCTCTAAAAAGAAGCAATTTCACAGCGTGTTAATCTGACCTGTTTAACAACTGTCATATAATTCCAATGTTCAGCATCCCAAAGTACAATTAAAAGTTGGCAAATGTGAGTTTCATCATTTTACCCTGGTCATAACAACAAACAAATTATTTTGCTCATATGCCTTTTACTTGAGCACAGGAAACTGATTATTTTGTCAGCTTTTGTGTAACAAGGCCAGGTAGTGGATGTAAACTACAAATAATCTTTAAATCTTTTCAAATTTCTGACAGTTGATGACTTGTGGTCTCTTTGTCACTGTGTGGATTCTAGGTGAAGTGTTATTTTAAAATTAGCTATTTTAAACCACTCAAGATAACTGGATGTTAGCTTGATTGGTTGTTTGTCTCCCTATGTTATCCCCTTGATTTCCAGGCATCTGGCTTTCCAGGTTTTCATCATTTGTCTTTTGCATTCTTGTCATTACATTCATAGCCACTCTATCTGATTTTATATATTTACATTTTTGTTTGTTCTAAACAGCTTCTTCTTCTCTTGTAAGCCATGAATTTGAAAGGAATACTGCCTGTTGGAAGTATAAGACCCAGGAGAAAAGAGACTGTGTGTAGGTTTACAGTTACACATAACCCAATGTGTTATGTTTTACAAGTTTCTTCTGCTTCAGTAAGATGTAAAAGAGCACCCTCTATGTATCATCATCTATAATGACATATCTAACTTTAAACTTTTGTGATCCATTAGTCTAAAAGTCAAATTTGTTGAATTCTAATTTAAATTTTGTAATTGCAAAACACTCAAATACTTCCATGTGAGCCTCTTTATCCAAGATGTGCATGTGGACATGGATAGATCTTTAATAAGCAACCTTATTAATATTATTAATATTAATATATTAATATGAATATATGTTAATATTATTTTTTGTCTCTGTTTATATTCCATTTGAGGGAGTTTGAACAGGTTTTTCTTTTCATGCTGGTGGTTAATGATTTTCTGGAGGTCATTAAATCATGAACCGTCTATTGCCTTGGTTATATCTTTAATTTGGAAAGTACTGAGGAAAATAATTCGGCCAGCGGTCCACCCCTTGAAAAGCAGCCTTTTTCAGCACATTGTCAAATCTGGTGTTCCACATCAATCTGACCAAAAAAAATCATTTGCTGTGTATGATTCAAAAATACATAAAACTACAACGACAAAAAAAAAAACTGTTTACAATGGATAGTCAGGAATGCACTCCAGGTGTCCAGCAAAACATACATTCACTAATAAGTGCTATGTTTTATTTGATGTGGTGGTTATGGCAGCAGTGTAAGGGACAAAATTAGGTTGTCAGAAAAATGCTGATATATCCATACTATCCCTACTAGAAATCATGATCATGCCTAACCACAATGCTTTTGTGACAATAATTAATATTTGTGGACGGTTTGCAGAGTTTGGGCCTTCCCCGTTCTGGCTCCTTCCCCAGTGCTGTTGACTTTTAGTCCAGGTTTTCCGACGCGGCGGGTAGAGATTAGATATTGAGTACTGCCTGGGCACGGTTTAGCTTCCCGGAGTTCTCGCCTTTGTGAACCCCGCCCAGTTTTTCGGTTGCGTGCGTCATATGACGCCTCGTGCGCCTCACTGCCCTAGCGTTCTCCTCACCTGCCGTTCTCCGCTCCTTTGTCCAGCGCTGACTAGTCGGGCAGTGTCAGCCTGGCGATATAGATTCTTGGCGCCGTCGCTGTTGCGCATTCTCTGCAGCGCTCCGGGGCGAGAAGTGATTAGGGTTTTTTCTCATTTTGCTTGCTTTCTTGTGTGAGTTACGTTTCGCCATTCTATTCTTTGCACATCCCCTCCTCGCCTCTCTTGTCCTTGCTGTGGACCTTCTTAGTTCTTCCTCTTATTTGTCTTGCCTTCGTTTTTTTGGCCCGGCGTTTCTGTCTAATCTTGGTGCGCTGCGCACGTTTCCCCGGCTACGTTGTCGCGAGTCCGGCCTGTTCCCGTTGCTGCCGTCTCGTGTCTCGTTTTGTGTTCGTCCTCGCCCCCCGCTTTTCCAGAGGGAATTCTGTTTCCCCTCGTGCCGGCGTCTTTTCCCCGCATCCTGTCGGTATCGTTCTGGTGCCTTTCCCCTCACCTTTTTCCTTATGTATGGCTGCTCTTTGTGTTCTTCTGCCCTGTGCAGCTTATGTGCTGCTGCCCCTTTTCCCTGTGGAGCGGTCGGCGGCCTCTGTTTGCTCCGATTTTTTTGTGCCTGTCCTGGCCCCACTGTGACTGGTTGAGTTGAGAATACTTTAAAATATATAAAGACCAATTGCTTCAGGACATTTGAACTGAAGTGTATCCTTCTGTCTTAGGAGAGTTCACTGGCTACTTGCTTGGTGATAGGGGGTATCCATGTTTACCCTATTTGCTTACCCCTTACCCTGACCCTGAACCGGGCCCACAGCAGCGATATAATCTGGCTAATTGCAGGACAAGAGCCAGAATTGAAATGACTATCGGAATGCTTAAGGCCCGGTTCCAGTGCCTGCAAAGACTCAGGGTCACCCCAGAAAGGGCATGTGACATTATTGTGGCATGTGTGATTCTTCACAACATTGCCACAATTAGAGGAGAACACTGTCCTTCTGAACCAAACATCAGCAGTGATCCAAACCATGAACATCCTGACCCTCCCACGGACATACAAGATGGAAGCGCAGTCAGAGACACCATATGTCACAATCATTTCTTTTGACCCATCACCTCAACATGTTGAAAGAAGAATAAACAGATTTTTGTTCAACTGGCTTTATTGGTCGCCTGTATTTCCTGTACACAAAGTATTAATAAGTATATTATTATGTTGTTCAAACACTGAAATAATTCGTCCATCTCTGACCACTTCACCCACCCTTAACTGATGTTCCAGCAGTAAAATCTCAATCTTGGTCTTTTGGATCTGCTGCTTGAAGTGTTCCATTTCCAAGTCGCATTTTTTTATTTTCTTGATCAAATAGGTCTTGTACAGCTGCTTTACAGGGAGCTATTGAAACACAGAAAATAGCATTGACATTCATAGTACATGCCTACTTAGGTTGGTTGTAAATCAGTGCTGAACATCTTACTGAGGAAAGGTTTGTTGGAGAAGTGGCTGGACCCTCTTCCTCTTCATTTCCATCATCACTCTGTTAGAGACATAGAAAGTCCATGGTTTTATTATAGTACCACATTTTATTCAATTGTTATATTTTCCATTGTAAGATGTAAACCTCATAAAGTGTCTCTGTTGCTTCCTCCTCTGTAACAGCTGTCAATGTTTCTTCATTATTTTCCTGTAGTAAAGAAATTAACAACATTGCTGTTCTACTGTAAACTCATATAATCTGTGGAGTATTACGGTCTCACAACTGCATGTTGGTCTGGCTCCACAGCTGCACCGTGCACCCCCCCATCAACTGATAGAATATGAGGTTTATACAGGTCACTTATAACTTACAAGGGACCAAATGGCAATTAACAAACATACCAATCACCTTACACTTCATTGTCATTATGCTCTCAAAGACAACCAAGACTGAGGGAAGGCAAAATCAGTAGGAAAATAACTTCACTACAAAATAATCCATTATGGTAAAGAGTTTATCAAATGAATGAGTAGCACTGCAAAGGTGACTGTGAAGAAAGGATGTATGCACATCATGTATTATTTTGAATTTACCTTCCTGTAGGCACTTGTGTCTTGCGGGGTTATTGACTCAGAGGATGTCCCCGCAGAGATGCCTTCGGCCACAGGGCGCCCACTGTTTTGGCTGAGGGCCAACTGCTCAGCCTCTGTGAGTGGTGGTGGTGGAGGACCCCCACCTGTTTTTCGGGCCTCCGCTTTTTTTCTGTTGGCTATAACGGGTCACATTTGAGCATACAGAGTAAGCAAATATGTACTTGTAATGTGCTCAGATAATTTCAATAAGTGCTTACAGAAAGAAAATTAATGTAGCCTCTAACTGCAATTGATTTACATAGGACAAACAGACCAAGCACTATGGCTCATAATACAATTACACCCACCTGTTTGGACTATATTTTTATATTTCATTTTTACTTGCTGCCAGGAACGTTTGGGGCCTGTTGGGTTGCACCTGCGCTCACATCACATCACAAAATAAAATGTAAAATAAAATAATAAAATAACGTGTTAAATGGGTGGAAATCCCTAGATCAATGTTTAAATTAACACTCACGCATTGACTCTGTCGGCTATGTTTTGCCATGCATGCTCCCTTTCTTTTGCAGCTGAGGCTGTGTTACTTTTTTCCCGCAAAATTTGCATGTTATCGGCATATGCTGCCATCAGAATTTCGGCCTCAAGCGCTGTAAAATACATTGACCGCGCCTTCTTTCCCTCCGTCTCCATGGTGACTCGCTTAATCTGTGCTCCACTAATCAGGGCTTTATGTATCCTCGTGCGCGCGCTTAACTTGGGGTTAAAGCAACTCCGCGTTGATTGAACTAATTGTTATCAGCCTTTCTGAAACCGAATATTCCGAGTTGGACAGTTCGGGGTTACTCAACCCGTGATATCATTTTTAACTCTGAGTTTTCTAAACCCGCTTTCTGAAACAGACCCCAGGAGAGTGCCATGTTTGAGGTAAGGAATGAGATTAGATTGAAGTTAAGAGAGAGAAGGAGAGCCTGTGAAAAAGGCGCATTGCCAATGTACACCAGGAGAGACACCATGGAAAAGTTGATGAGGTGAAGGAGAAGAGAGACAACAGAGAGCCTGCATTAAGACTCAATGCTGCTGATGACCAGCAGAAAGTACAGAGCCTGCGCTGAAGCTGAGAGTTGCAAAATACAGGAGGCAAGAGAGAGCCTGCATTAAGGCTCAAGGCTGCTGTTTGCCAGGAGAGCACAGAGTGTGTGATAAGGCTGAGAGTTGGCAAAGGTCAGGGGAGAGAAGAGAGAAACAGCTTGCATTCAGGCAGAAAGGGTGATGTGTGTTGGGATAGTGAATGGAGAACCTACAGCAAAGATTGGAGTCTGCTGAAGCTCACCCAATGAAACACTTGTAAGACACGGCAGTAGTGAATACAACATGACGCATACTGACGAGAGACTGTCAAAGTAAAACAGGAAGTACACAGAGGTTCAGACAAGAAGAGAGAGAAAGCACAGACATAACGGGCTGGGGAAAACATTGAATGAAACACAAGGAGGGGAGACGAGGGCTCACAGATACACAGAGGAGCACACAGGGAGTAAAAGTCACAAGGGGAAATCAAATAAGGAACAACTTAACAGAGCAACTCAGGAACCATGGCCTAAATAAAGAACAAAATACAAAAATACATGAAAACTAAGAATGCTGGGCCAACATGGCCCTGGACCATGACAATATTATAGATGCTGAAGCAGCTTTTCTTTTTAACCAGGTTGGTATAGTTAGTTGTGGGTTACTAAAGTGGCTTATGATCAAAGTAGCTTTTATTTCACTTGTGTCTCTCCTTTTCTCATGATTCATATCTATTTTTCTATCATGTTAATTACACTTTTACTCCATCTATTCCTCACTCTGTTGTTGTCACTGCTGTCCATCTTCCTTCACGTCTACACAGCTAAAGCTAACAACAGTAGTTTCCTGTGATTGAGAGGGATACAAGTTGTTGTTGGCACTACCTTTAACAGTGCAGCTGTAGCAGCAGCAGCCTCGACGGCTAACATGTCAGTTAATTTGACACATTTTGCTACATCTATTTCTATTTATTTATTTATTTTTTTGTCTTTTTCTGTTAGCTTTTCAGCTCTCCCTTTGTTTTGAACTCGATTGAAGGTCAGTTCTCACTTACACCTGTTAACCTTCTGCAGTCTGCATTTGGATACACGTTACTCCACATCGTCACAGCATGCTCAGACCAATAATGGACCCAGTAGCCTCTATGATGAGGAAAAGGAGACCATTATTGATATTGTGGAGAGGGTGTGTAATAAGATAAGCTGAGACAAAAATAAACCTTTATTAGTCACACAAGTGGGAAATTTGTTTGGTAATGAGTGGTTGACTGAGCCCTGTAAAAAGTAAAATGAAGAGGTAGTTCTTAAACTACACAGGCTGGTTTCTGGCTTTCGTTGGCTGCTAGACTCCCTACCTGAGTTGGTAAAGAACTTTCTAGTCACCACTCTTCACCTTCTTTCACCCACTGCCATTCTCAAAACCTCCATAGCCGCAGCAACTCAGTGCCCAAGGAAGTGCCCAAGAAAATAAATAAATAAATTGACTGAGAAGACAAAGAGAGGGAAATAGAGAATGGGAGAGAGCAAAAAGAAACAGATTGGCCATGTAAAGTCAGTTAAAAGTTAATGCAACTTCTGTTTTCACTGATGATGATTTCGCATTACCAAGATTGGCAATCCACATTTGATAACATTACTGTTAAGAAATGTGGATTCCTAGCCTCCTCTTTTAAATATGATTATAGGATTATATTGCTGTTACTCTCTTGTTGAATAGGGTGTGCTTATGTGTGATTATCAGAGCAACCAAGTGGTGACAAGGATGAAGAGAGGACAGTAAACGTGGCTTGCACAGGACATCTGCCACTACATTCATGTGACAGACTATAAATCTATTCTCCACTCTTAGAAGTAGGGTACATGATGTTCTGTGGTGAGTTTACACCATAAAGGAAGGATTTGTATGAATGGAAAAACTTGAAACTTTAATTCTGTATTGAATGTCACTGCTCTTGTGGTGAACTGCAGCAGGGGTTTATTGTCTTTTCTAACTTTGTTTTTCAGGGCGTTGGCAAGACGGGCTTTTGGCCATTTATTACAAGCATGTATTGTAATAAAAGCTCATTTTATTGTTAATTGTTTTAACCATCCACTTCATAGTGAGTTTGACTTGCCTACATTTGAACAAGAAATTTACAATTGCATGCTAATAGTACAGGTTCGGTGAGCTGGAACACAAATTTTCCTTTACACCTGCATGTTTGCACACTGTATCATGAAGCAATTAGGACCATATGTCTGGTTCTAAGTTAAATAACTGGCTTGTCTGGATTATTTACACTACTCTGACACACATACATGTTGGTTATGCTGGGGAGCATTCAGAACAGATACAAGGACAGTAAAGGGAAGGAAACAATAGTGATTGTAAAGTCACTATTGTTAGTGAAAAAGTATTAGCTTTTTAATCCTCTATGCGCATCACTGTGTTTCAGTGAAGAAATGCATTATGGGATCTGGGCCATTTTACTGCATGGGATCACCATTCTCTCTTGCTACTCCCCTGTCATACAGTTACCTTTTGTCAAATAAAAGTAAAAGGCCAAAATTTAAAATTTTAAAAAGTCTAGATATAATTTATGATAATCCTGAGCATGTTTTGTAAGAGGACACATGCTTGTGATCACCATTAAACACAGTTGTGTGTCTTTGTTGTCTGACTCTAAGGGTGTGTTTGAGAGGTGTGTGTGATTGTCATTCTGTGTTGCAATGCTTCTGTCTCCAAAATAACAAATACATAGCTTTACTTCATACAGTCTGCTGTCATGAACTGATTTTTTTTTCTCTTTAGGCAATAGTAGAGCTTTTTCAGATCAAATTGCTTGAGGTGCAGTTTTGTGATACAGTATCGCATTAAGTCAAAATCTAAATGTAATTAATCAGTATTTGTGATTTTACCATTCAATCGTTCCTAAAGTCTGGTATATGGCTTTTCTATCCAGTGTATTATGTTGTAAATGGATGATATTTAAAAGATCCTTTGGATGATTTCAAAATGTAATGATTGTCAACAAATCTGCAGGAAGCAGAAAGTCGGTTTGGAATGTCAGGACAGTGGAAGCATCATGGAAAGTGTCTATAAGTGCGTGGTGTGTGTGCGCGCGTGTGTGTGCGCCCGTGTATGGAAAGACATGTCTCCACTTTCTACCCCATATACAAACAGCTCAGATGACCTGAAATATGATTTTGGTTTTTCTTTCTTCTTCACTGTTTAACTGTTTTGTGTATGTGCTTATTAAAAAAGCAGATGGTAGTGTTACACTTTCACAGCTCACATTTGTATATAGGATATCAATGTAATATATATTACATGTAAATATAATAACTAGCTAGAAAATCTTATCCAGTATATTTGTATGAATTAATGAATGTGGAAGGAAAACATGGAAAGAGAGGTATTAGTGATTAAATCACTCTATGAGGCACATAAATTTCAGACTATACATTTCTTTATTTCATTACATGAAAAATATGTTCTATCATAATGACTCAAATTTGATCTGAAATTCCTTGTTTTGATAATCGTATTTCTTGCTTTTCACCTCTGCTAACAAGATTATTTCTAAACTTCAACTCACAACTCAAACTCAGAATCTGAATAGGTTTATATTAGTTTTCATTGCCTTCATAG